GTTACCCGTGGTTCACTGGAGAAAACTGTGAAAAATGTAGGTGCTTTTAGATTTGCTCAGTTTCAGATATCTCATCAGGGGTGTATCCAGTAATTTCAAACAGGGTCTTTTACCGAAAAAGTACATCTTTTTACCTGTTTCGTTGACCCGAGTTGAGGATTGGTATAGGTATCAGACTAAGATCAAATTTTGATGTGCAGCGTACCTTTTCCGTCGAAAGAGCGTTTTTTAAAAGATTTTAAGGGCTGTATTACCATTTTCACATACGAAAATGAACTGTCTGTGTATTGCTAGATTATAAAGTTTTTGTATTATATTGATGTGGATTACACAGTTGACTTTGTTTTTAGCTCAGATCTGCGATCCTAACCCCTGTATAAACGGTGGAAGGTGTGTGTCTTCTCACAACGGTCACAATTTCTATTGCGATTGCGAGTTTCCTTTCTTCGGGGAAGTATGCCAGTTGAGTAAGTTGATCGGTACTTCGATCTTATTTCTATAGACAGATGACAGATGGAGAAAGTGACTTAAGCTATTTAGTAAAAAAGTCTGTATATTTTTCTTCGGGTTTTACATGTCAAGTTAATTCTTATTTTGTTCCCACAAGTAAGTTTATTTCATTGTTATATGAATATGTAAAAATGTATGGCTGTAATGTTGCATTTCGGTTATCAGTTGTAAGGAGAGATCTCAAAACAGACCGTATTTGTGTGTTTGGGTTTAAGTATCCAAATATGATTTTAATGTAATAACCAACACTAAGTTGCCAAAGCTTGTGTGTTTACCCCTGCCCCCCTTCTCCCTCTCTCTCTCTCTCTCTCTCTCTCTCTCACACAGTGTGTGTGTGTGTGTGTGTGTGTGTGTGTGTGTGTGTGTGCGCGCGCGCGTGTGTTCCTTCGTCCGTGTGCCTGGGTAGTAGGTGATATTCTCAAAGTCATTTAATTTTAAAGAAGTGTCACTATTATCGTCACAGGTTTCCAGGACTACATAACGACCCTAATGTTAACCAGCCCAATCGTAATTGGGGCCACGGGTCCTCCAGGACCAGCTGGCCCCACTGGTCCCACGGGCCCAAGCGGAAGCGACGGAGAACCAGGACCTAGTGGCCAGACCGGATCAACGGGACGAACAGGGGCCAGAGGTGAAACCGGCCAAGACGGTGACGATGGGCCAGTAGGTCCCACCGGACCAACAGGGGACCGTGGACCCATTGGAGAGACAGGTACAGACACTGGACAATAGAAGTGTCACCCCAACTGGGGAGATAAATGACTGTGGAATGATATGCTCCTGGTATCATTTTATTAACATCAAATTTCACAAAAAAAAACAACAATACAATTCCATGGTACAGCGGTTTTATACTCATTAGTCACATTATAAGTAGACCAGGCATTATAACTACTCAAGATCTGCCTACTTTGATTACTCTGATTCAGGGCGTGACACTTCTATTGTCCATTGTGTGTACAAGCTATTTGTTGGTTGTAATGGGTTCGATGTTAACACGAGTAAAACGCTGTAGAAAAATAATAAAGCAAATATAGGCTTACACACTGAGACGCATTTAATTGATTTTACGATGACAAACGCCTTTATAATCGTAACAAGAGTACATGTGTGGTCTGTATAAGTTACCAAATGATTTAACAACTGAAATCGTTCCAACATATGCCTTAAAACTTTACCTTGCAAAAACTTAATATCTCTTTGTATAAAATCAGAGAACTCCTCGACTTACACTGTACTAAATGTTTTAATGCAGCTATACGATATTTCAGGTCCGGCCGGACCTCAGGGCCTCAGAGGTGATCGTGGCTCAACTGGTGTTTCCGGAGAAACCGGCTCCGCGGGAAGAGACGGCGAACCCGGGCGACCAGGGTCAACTGGCTCCACCGGGCCACAAGGACCAGCTGGGGGTGCAGGGCCTCAAGGACCCACTGGACCTGCTGGACCCAGAGGCCAGCAGGGTGAAATGGGTGAGAATGTCCGTCTTATTGATCTGAAGCGGTGTTTATTTGATGCTATGTTTATACCTGGTCATCAGCTTCAGGTTGTGACAAAAATGTTAGTCCTCTAGGAGCCGTAGTCCATTTCTTTGAACAAGATTGAAGTGACATTCGTTCCATATGCAAACCCCTATACTTCCACTTACCCTAACCCGTGCCAATTAAATGTCACGCCGGCATAGAGGGTGATCCATCATTTTTGAGTTCAAAAGTGGGTCATCTTAATCCAAATTTCCTACATTTAACAATAGATTGATCCATTATTTTATTATTTTATGAACAGTTCTGAGAATTGTGCTGTCTTAGCAGAGGTCTGTACTCTCTGGGTGCCTTTATGGGTTCATATTGCTTTGTTTAAGTCGCGTTGCACTTAACACAATCCGTAGGCCTATACTTGTTTATCTTGAAGTCGATGGATGCAAAACTTTTAATATCATTGTCTTTCTTATGTTCTTCTATAGGAGAAACAGGTGCGCCCGGTCCTGCAGGCGCAACAGGAGAAGCAGGTCCTAAAGGGGACAGCGGAGCACCAGGTGAACCAGGTCGCACTGGTGCCCCTGGCCCCACTGGAGCTCAAGGTGTCTCCGGCGCATCTGGCAGTCCCGGGAAAGACGGCAACCAGGGTCCTACCGGTAGTGCCGGACCACAAGGTGGGCCACGCTCAGCATGCATATATTATGTATTGTAAAACTTAAAGATATCATGAAGAATACTTCATATAATTTTACGGACATCCTTTTATAGTACTTCTGTTCTTCCTACCGAGTAAAAAGTTTTACAGGGTTTAAAATGCAAATAATCGTAGAGTTCTAGATCAACTATCACAGACATTAGGTTTTGTATTTTCACAGTAGTTTCTTCATATGAACAGGTCCGAGAGGCCCTACGGGCACAGCAGGTGCAACAGGTGCTCCAGGTGAACAAGGTGCCCAGGGACGCCCTGGCATGACTGGAGCTCGAGGCGAGACTGGACCTAGGGGCGCTGTAGGTCCACCGGGACCAGCCGGATCAGCCGGACCCAGTGGCAGTACAGGCCCCATCGGGCCAAGAGGGTCAACTGGGTTCAGAGGGGAAGCAGGAGAGAGAGGTCCAAAGGGAGATAGTGGACAACCAGGGCCAACAGGCCAGTCTGGTGTACCAGGCGAACCCGGACGCACAGGAGACGCTGGCCCAGCAGGACCTAGGGGCCAAACTGGCAGTCCTGGAGTCAGTGGAGGAACGGGTGCAACAGGGCCAGCAGGTGCCCGTGGGCCTACGGGTGATCGTGGACCGACTGGTGCAGGAAGCACTGGACCCACAGGGCCCACGGGACCACAAGGACCTGCTGGCCGCACTGGTGCTGCAGGCGCTAATGGAGAGGACGGTCGTCCTGGACAAACTGGTGCAAAAGGTGCTGATGGTTCACCAGGCTCCCCAGGTCCAAGGGGACCTACCGGTGCACAGGGTCCTGCTGGAGATAGAGGCCTACCCGGTGCCAGAGGGTCAACTGGACCTGCAGGCCCTGAGGGTCCCAGAGGTGCAACGGGCGCACAAGGTAGTTCTGGCGCGACTGGACCACAAGGAACACAAGGTGCGCCAGGAAAGGATGGCAGCCCAGGGCCAACAGGTGCCAGGGGTCAAGCCGGAGCACCAGGAGCTACCGGACCAGCTGGCCCTGCAGGTCCACAAGGTCCCAGTGGTGCACAAGGAAGACCGGGTGCAACCGGCCCTAGTGGACCTGCTGGACAGAGAGGCATGGACGGAGCACCTGGTGCTACTGGTGCCCCAGGTAGCACTGGAGCTAGGGGACAGACCGGTGACCGTGGTGCAGACGGGGAACCTGGTGAAGATGGGGCTCCAGGTGCTACTGGACAAGCAGGTGCCCCTGGTAAACCAGGAGCTACCGGGGAAGCAGGTAGACCTGGTTCCAGAGGTGCTCAGGGTCCTCCTGGACCACAAGGCTCTGCTGGCCCAGCTGGTACACAAGGAGAGACTGGTCCTCCTGGTCCTCCAGGCAGTACCGGCGCTAGGGGTCAGGACGGAAGTGACGGCGCGAAAGGTGATAGCGGTCCACCCGGGCCCACTGGACCCGCTGGAGCGCGAGGCCAAACTGGCACTCCCGGCCTTCCTGGTCAGAGTGGAGAAGATGGAGCTCCCGGTCCCAAAGGGGAAGACGGTGAAGATGGACAACCAGGCCCCCGTGGCCCGCCAGGACCCACGGGGCCCAGTGGGCAACCTGGACCTAGAGGAGAGGCTGGTGAACCTGGAAGTCCTGGACCGACCGGTCCTGCTGGTCAGCAGGGAGCTGATGGTGAAGATGGACCACCAGGCCCTACAGGTCCTGCAGGCCCCAGAGGTGAGACAGGAGAAGCGGGAAGTTCGGGTAGTCCAGGTCCACAAGGGCCTACGGGACCGACAGGGGCATCGGGAGATTCAGGAATGGTTGACAGTTGCTTTCCAACGTTGCATTGCCCAGTACCTTGCTACAGCGGATATACATCACGTAAGCTTTTTTTCTCGATTTAATCTATTACTTTTTGGGCCAGTTGACTGATATTCCAAATTCAATGGAACTGCATTGTTTTTAGAGTAGAACGCGTGCAAATTTCAACAGGTATAGTATTACTGCGGAAGAAATAAATATATGCATTTGCGTATAATACCATACTTACATCTAATCGAATTTTCATGCTCTTAGTGTGTAACGGAAATATGTGGCAGAATCCAACAGCGCTGGTAAGCAGAGCCGTATCTCTCATCGACCAGTGTGGGATATTCCCCCGGAATAACGTCAACTTTCTTTGGCGGTCTTACTGGATGAATCCCTACACCGTCAATCTTCCTGGCAGCGGGGGGTGCGGCCCAGGAGGGTGTCTCGGGGGAGGTTTCCCAACTGGTATTCATTATGGCGGCTACCCCGGCCCAAACTCTGGGCCCGTAGGAGCACCTTCAGGTCTCATGGCTCACTTTCAGCCTCCGGACGGCAGCAACACATCCGTGCAAGCAGCGTGGAAGGCAGTCATGAACGTGAACGGCGGGTCCCCAATGACTGTAGACCCTCAGAAACTTGGGGCGGGCGGACTGTGGCAGGTGAGAAAGAATCTGCTGATATTACACCAATCTGCTGATATTACACCAAACGACAGAACGTTATAATAACGTTACCATAATGTTTTTTGGTTTTATAAACGTTATGGTTAAGTTATAATAACGTTATGTGTTTATGGGATAGGAGCGGAGCCGGTGTTACAGGAATGGTACAGTAGTCCTAGGAATGGAAGTCCAGGTCCCATATGATTAGTACTAGTTAGGATTAGTCAGATATTGGGGTTAGTATATGGGACAATAATGGACCACCTGTACAAATTAATGGGGAACGGAGTACGATTTACAGCAATGTACCATTCCTGTCACACCGGTAGTGGGGCTTGAGCACTTTTTTCAACCAGTTCAGTAATAAGCACGAAGGGCAGAGACCTAAGGGAGGGCTGGGTTCCACTGCTTTGAAACTAAATGTAAACTTCAGTGTATCATTAAAATGTTGCGCCGAGGACTGCGGCTTATTTTCTCAACCAGCTTGCAACATCAGTTACATCATTTTTTGCCATTTCCCCTTTCTCTGTCGCTAATTGTGTTTCTACTTATGATTCCCCCTTGCAGCTTATACTTTTCTTCATACGAGCCTGAATAATTTTCATTCGTTAGTAGAATTGTGGATGTTCTACCGCATGTAGCAACGCTTGAAATTAAACACGTTAGATTAAGGGGGTAAGCGACTCAAGCGTTGCAAGTTAATGTATGGCAAGCCAGCAATTTCAAAAAGGGGGGTTGTTTTTCTGAAAAAGTGGACCTTTTCCGATAAAAACTTCATGTACCTAGATCAAAATTTACCCAGAGTGGACCTTTTCCCAGCAAAAGGGGCGGTTCTTCGAACCCCCCGAACCCCCCTGGCTACGGGCTTGTACGGGTATCTCTGGATAGACTTCAGCCCTTCCTTCAGCTACAAGTGCAAGTGGGTACAAACAAGCCGCCCACTTCCCTTAGCTAGTTTAGCGTATAGTTATAGGGTTTGGACCTAGGACTATGCGCTACAATGGTGCATCGCAAGATCTCCCCTAAATATTCAAAACTTTGGTATGATTTTCTGCCTTCCAGGTTCCAGAGAAAATGTTCAACGCTACCAAAAGGGCCGCTGATCGTCGCGCCATGCAGAACTACTACCAACAGATACAACGGCAGTTCTGCGTGGATTGGACACAGATGCCGTATGGCTGTTTGCGAAACCCCCTTTACTCCGCCATGGCAACACAGATGTACCTCTTGGTACAGCCCAGACCAGTGCCCTCGGGATGCGCCCAGCAGGCTACGATGTGGTCCAATTTCGTTCAGCAGTCCAATATGCGGCAAGCGTTTGTACAGAACTGTTACTCAGCCCCGAACTATAATCAGTTGAATCAACAGCTTCAGTATTTTCTTGTGTAAGACATGTGTACCTTCGGCCCAACCGGGCACTGGATTATAACATATTGACATGAGGTGGCGTTGGTTTAATTGACTTTGATGATAACGGAAATGCAACCCGGTTCCAATTTATGAAAAGCAAGCGTTTCTTTATATTTGCTTTAGAATTCTGCACTTGAACCAAACTTTCTGGAGTGTGAAAAATGTATTCTTTAATAAAAAGTTGAATTTGCTGGACTTTAAGATTTAAGGTGTGATAGTGCTGAAGTAAAATTGCTGGCTTCTCAACTATCGCAACGGGGACGTAAACCAGTGTTTAAAATCTCTCTCTCTCTTTCTCTCTCTCTCTCTCTCTCTCTCTCTCTCAATTATAAACTCTACCACTGCTTCAAGGGATAATGTAATGCCTTGCAAACAATTATCGAACTACTTATGCCAGATATTCTCGTTTGACAAAAAACGTAAAATCAGGGAATTCAATTTTGTTGGACTTAACTATAGATATATTGAACTGTTGTTAATACCATGAAAAATTCATCTCCTTACAAGCCATGATCGTTGATTTAAAAAAAAATTGATTATCCCTGGAAAGTCTATTAAAATGTTATTCTGATTAATGACCCCCCCCCCCCCTTGATCGTTGTCAGTAAAATAAGTAACTCATAAGGTCAAAGTTTATCTGTATTTCTTACAAAAGTATAGAGAAAAAGAAAGGTTTTGTCTTAAGTTAAAAAATGTAAAAAACGCAAGCTTATATGACAACCATCAAAGGCGGGTTTCATTTAAAACGAAAAAAGTTTGTCCTGGAGAAGTTCCAAGATGTAAATTAAAACTTCTTAATTCACCAGAAGCGTGACGCGTGTATGTTTCTTTATGTATTAACCGCCGTAACCCTCCTTGCCATGACAGATTTAAGACACTCCGGAACTAAAGATTATCTACAAAATGCAAATTTGCCGGGAGATAACATACTTCGTGGATGGACTTGACAGCGGAAAAGATTTTTTAACCGCAAAGTAATTGTGTAGCTAACTGCGAAGTGAACTTATTCACTCAAAATGCATGCATGTAACTCCATAATTTGACACTGAAAGAGGGTTTGTGAACTTTTATGAAAATTAGGCTAAATTCATTTGATATTTATTTAGCATGTTTGTTCGTTTTTTTATTATTTATTTTTTTTTTTTTTTCAAATCGGTTGAGTTATTTCATTTTGGTTTACTTAAATAATAGACCCCCACCCCACGTTTAGGACCAATATGAAGACAGTTAAAGCGCAAGAATTTAATGATTGTAATTGATTATAATATAATATTATCTGCAACGTCTATCTATAATCGTTGTGCCCTCACTGTCGTATTTCTCAACGGAAAACTGTAATTACCACGTCAGACCATACCTGTAAGTGTTCATGCAGTATCTGTTTTTTTCTAATATGCAGTGCGTTACCATTTGCCTTGCCTTCAATCAATAAGGTGATGTCGATAAAAATATCATTAACAATAAAATAATGAATTAGTAAAAAATCCCTGGACAGATGATTCAAACACGTTATAAATGTCAGTCATAACAGTGCCATTTATTTTCACTATGTGTACAAAGCACCCCCCCCTCCCGTAAATGTAGCATACGCTGGGATATTTGAAGGTTTAGCTATAATGAGATCTACAGTTGTGAATCCTTATAAAATGAAGAATATAAAATATAATATAGTGTATTAATAAAAATGACAGTTTTGTAAAAAATATTTGTGTTAACCTTATCATACTTAGATGTAACCAGAATTTGTACATGAGTCGAGTCCGTGTTTTTGATAAAACTACTGTTATTTACAGAAAATATATATCTATAGTAGAAAATAACAATTTGTTTCACTGAACAAGTAATGAATATAATACGATATGGCTCAAATTACTTCTTTTCTCCACAGAGACCACTATTACTCCGCCATGGCGCAAAGCTGTTAATTTGTGACAGAGGCGTCGGTTGTTTCATCCATTCAATAACCTGGCTACTAGTGACAAAGAAAACGTCATCCATTTTGTTAATGTATCGAATAAAACGCTTTAGTCCATCAAAAGCTTGGTTATTTTCCAGCCACTTTCCTTGGAAATAAAGCCCGTATGGAGCGCGCTTTCTGTTGTAATATTCCGAGAAAAACTGAGCCAGCAAGACATTGAAAGTATCGTCTGAGGTGGTCACTTTGCAATCGTCCATCATGGCGCACCCTTGACCGTCTGTGCCGTACATTCGATTAATTGGAATTTCCCAAAGTCCTGGGTAAGATGCGTTTGGGCAGTTTGAAGGGTAGATATCACAGAGTGTATTATTTGGCGGGATATCTAATGTGAATGGATAGAAAGGTGGGAAAACTGCGTAATTGTGTGCCGACGTCGGTCCCGTTACCATGGAGGAATCGTAGGTGAAATTATAGTCTCGCAGCATTCTGTACATGTTATTTCCTCCCGGCTGCAAATATGGCACTCTCATACCGGTTATTTTACCCTCGGGTATATCTGTTCCTGTTTCCAAGTTGATTCTCTGTCCGTAGATTTCGTAAACGTAGTCCAAGTAGGAGGCGCTGTTCCACCACAGAGGAGGTTGTCGTCTGCTCTGGCTGTTACTTGCGATCTCGTGGCCCCGCGCGTATAGCTGCCGGACAGCGTTGTAATCCGTCCTTTCCTGATCCGGTACGAAAAATGTAGCTGCGATGGGGCATCCGTTGGGATTGATAATGTCGATGGGGAATAATTGTTCGAAGAAGCTGGCAACGTACGCGGTAACGGCGAGATCAAATGAAACTATGACCATCTGAGGCACAGCGCTGGGGTTTAAATTATTTGGCGGGTTAGGACTCGGGCAGCGACAAGCTGGGGGCTGGCAGAAGCGCTCCGTACATGGAGCTAGCGGTCCGGATATCAGGTCGTAGCACGCCACTGGCCTGAGCTCTCGTAGTAACAAACAGGACGCTGTCAAAATAAATAAGATATACCAAGTTCCTGTGTTTTTTCTAGTCATTGTCTGAGATGCTGTTGATGATGATGATGGTGCTGACGATGAGTACGACCGATTTTCTTCAGTCACTCATTCAGTCTAACCTTGTATATTTCTTTTCACACACGTGTATATCTTTTGAATTTTGGTTGACTTTGCGGTCACTCTCTTCAAGTGGACTTAGTTGACCTCCAACTTTGACAAGTGTTCTCCACTTGCAGCTTGCCTCCAGTCGATTTATGGGAGGTGCTTCATTAATTCATTTACGCTTTCCCTCCTGAAGTTTTTCTTACTTTAAATAAAGTTCACTTCTTGATTAAACCGAGACTTAAGGAACTGGAACCACTATCTATCGTCACACCGAAATTGAAATTGAATCAGCTATCCTTCTTCGTTCCTCTCTCTGCCGTGAATGGTAACATGGCTTTTTGAATTATACCACCGAGGAGACAAGGGCCCGTATCTTATGGATCTGATCAGATATGACGGGGTGACGAATTTTGGAAGGTCGTGAAAATCAAGGAATAGATTTAATGTCTCTTTTGTATCGGTAGAACTTACAAACATTAACGTACAAGTTACAATGTGGCTTACTTGATGACAAAAACGCATTTTTACTGTACATTTATCTCTGTAGAACTGCCCTTTGAAAACGTTTTATTCAAGGACCCACTTTGTTTCCCCTTTATGACCTTATGCTAATTTTAACCCTCTGTGCTTTTGCCCGATCGCGCTGATATGGCGTAATTGGTGCACTTGAGTTGATAAAGCTTCCTGTAATTAGCCAAGCAAAACAACTGATATGGTAGGGGAGCATGTCGACGTCTTCAGTTTGCAATTTCTATATTAAAAATCTATTTATACCAGGTCTTTGTCCAGCCCATAGTTACTTCATTGTTTGCAATATAATAGATACCAGGACTATAATAAAATATATGAACATAGATAATTATCCTTTATTTGAGGACTGGGCAGTACTGCTACTTAGAATGCAATAAATATTGTGTGATGAATAAGAGCTGGCACGTGAAGGGTTTTCCACTGCATTATAACCGCCCCTTGTCATGAGCTATTTCTTTTTGATTTTTCTTTCAAATAAAATTTGAATGATTTTGAATTTATCTAGGGACCACAAATTTAACATTCAGTACATTAGCAATAGAGGCTCCTACATATAAACTGATGGAATAGACGGGGAGGCAATCTTAACAGACCGCCATTGAGAAATACCAGAAAATTAGCTTAAAAATGTGTATTGTTTATTTCCTTTTGTAAAACAGTGAGAGTAATGAAAATATAAATGCTTTTCGTAGTAAATAATATTTTGTTATGGTTGAAATTTGTGACTTCAAATGCATACGAGATAGCTCTAATTATAGATAAAATTGTATGAATGATAGCGATAGTGATTAGATAAAATCAAAGAAATTGTTTTTGTTTACACTGAACTCCCCATGAGGCGCTTGTAATTCTTAGTCATATACCGAGTACATATACATGTATGCGTCAAAAGCTTTTCTTAGCGATAGAATCCAAATATTCAGGTTGTGGTCGGGACTTCAGTCAAAATGCGACAGGTGAGACAAGTAAAACATCAGGCACACCGCAACGCAGATTTTCAGAATAACACAACAAGTACAGCTGAAATTGTAAAGTAGAGAGTGAGTAATCAAGTTTAAAAATCAGTTTTCGATAGTGGGAGACAGTCAGAACTGGCAGTAATTAGACTGAAGTGTTGTTAGACTGAAGTGTTGTTGTCTGAAGATTGTTACAGAGTTTAAACAGTACATCGATAGTACCGCCGTACAAGGTGTACAGAAAGCTGTATCCATCGATAAACAAAATGACACTTTTCGTAAATATTTATGATATACATGCTGGCATTAAAATGACGAGATTTGACCCGATAAGCTAGTATCCGATGTATCAGATTGCATCGTCGAATCCTTCTTTCTGAAATATATTCGCTTTTGTTACCTTCGCTGATACCTTCGCTGAGGGATACCGAATTGAAAGGGGAATCTTATTATTGGGAGTATTCGGGGTATTGTTTATACATAAAAAGGAGTGTTTCCTTTATTACTGGCCTTTTCCATACACGCGGACGGCTATATATTGTTTGCATTTTCATAAAAAATAAGATTCTACTTTACCCTATCGCCGCTAATTTTGCATTTTAAAGTGTTCACGATACAAAAATCCCCCGCAAAACTGACAAAATCTCCTGTCTGTATTTACAGAACGACTAGACAAAACCAGGAAATATCAAATATTTGCCTTAGCACTACGTAGAATTCTTCGGCAAATATCGGCTAACATTGGAATATATTAGCGAGCAGATATACGAGGTATATCAAGCCGTTAATACTTGCATCATAGTTCTGTCTTTATTTCGAATTGCAATCAGTGCAATCTGAAAACGCGCTCTCTTAAACCTGTTTAAGATTACTGAATAATAAAATTTTGTTCGATACAACAAGTAATATTGTCGAATATTTGTAGGTTGACATATTGAATTCTGAGCACGATATTGTACATAGAACCTTGTAAAATCATGTAGAGTATATGTTCTAGTCTCCACGCATGTCCAAAGCTACCATGGCCATTGTAAATCATCAATTATTCAATTAACTAATTAACTGCTAACTGTTTGTATCATCGCTCAAAAAATGATACAATTCTCTGTCAATCATTGCAGTTTTTGGCCCATTCCAACACTGTCAAATGGTCCTTTTTTCCATTTTTAATACTTTGAACGATGCTTGCGTGGTTTTGATGCTTTTATTTGTTGTTTTTATTAAACAAATGTAATTCATCAGCGGTCATAATTCCTCTACACGCGCTCAGTCTATTTCAATCGATATTTTCCCGGGCATTGTCACTCTGCAGCGGTTGGTCTTTGGACAATGCAAATTAAAAATAAGGATTTCTTGACCAAACAACTGGGATGGTGTATTGAAACGGACTTCTCACAAACCAAGTGGGGGGGGGGGGGGGAGGTTCGGGATCGTTCAGCATCTTAAATTAACTGCGGTTAAGATCGCGAAATCGAAAACAAAAATAATAAGGGCGTGTCTTGCGCTTAGATTACATTTACACGGGCGCCGCGCGATGAAATTGTGAGTACGATTTTTTTAATGGTAAGGAGCTACGGGCTACGCCAAGTATGTCTACATTACATGGCCTTAAATCCGCACGATTCTGTGCGATTTCGTACGGCTACCGTCTACCTCCGCTCAGACGCTGTACAAAAAGGGTATTACGGGCAGTATGCGTGCACCGTACGGGCATCGCATTTTTATATGTAATCTAGGCTTTATCTCTAATAACGTCCTTCCTCTTATACAAAAAACACGTTATTCTATACTTACTATGGCGTTGGAAGCTTATGTAACTTCATCTCTGGTTTGTTGTTAAAACAAAATTTATATGCACCACAACATATATTAAAGAAAACGTTTTGAATGGATTTTAATAAAAAAAAAAAAAACTGCAGTGCTTCTTAGAGGGATGGGTGGTATTGATTTAGTTGCCGAAGTAAAACAATATAATTTTTGTATGGGAGATACGTTCCGATAATACCTGAATATTTTTATCAATATTCCCAGCATCCCGGGAATTCAGTTGAAATGTATTTTCAAGGAGTAAGCTTTCCATGAATCAACTACATTTATTTTTAATCCATCTGGAAAATTCAGCGAACGGGTCATACGTGTATTGTATAGGTATGTTTGTAATTGTCACTGGAGTTCTGTTTAGTTTGTTGTCGGTTGTCGCAGACCAAACAAGGAAATATTCGAGTAGTTGTCAGGAAGGCCCGTGTTGCCGTCTGGCGCCCCGTGCCCTCTCATATATCTCTGTCAGTCATAGATGGACAGATTTTCAGTCGACTGATCTAAAGTCTTGTTCCTCTGTGTAAACTTTTGTAGTCGTTATAAATAAATAATCCCCCTTCTGATGTGATGGTTGTGTTGAGGCAGCCATTTGGAACATTTTGCTTGATTTCATTCTGTGCTTCTTCATTAATGCGATCATCAAACACCTGGATCTTTCGAACGCCATCCGGGGAGGCTGGGGTGGGGTGCGGGTAGAGACTATTTTAGGGCGTCTATCCACTGAAAAAAACTGCGCAAAAAAACATTTCAATATCACACCATAAACAGTGATCCCAGCTAAATTAAAGCACAATAAATAATCCAGGGTTATATATATATATATATATATATATTAAATGTATAGTGTAGTTGGAGCCGGGACTTGGGTTTCTCTAGAACTTTCTGGAGGCCTATTTGTCCCATTGTCTGCCATACACTGAATACACAGTGTATGAATAATAGGCTCGAGAACTCAACAACCGAACTCCTTTCCTAAATGACTGTCATCTGTCATCGATGCCATCTAATTAAGGGACAAATAGTGCTATGAAAAGATTAATAAACAATCTCATATAGTTTCGAGGAGGATGCCTAAATGTATTATCTGAGTTGCAAACGGCTTCATTAGAATATTAGTTTATTCCAACAACGGAGAACGAATGCACAATTGAAAGCTCACAGTCAATAGCACATTGTACTTGATATTAAACGCATGGCCATTGTTCGTTGTCGAGTGTTTTATTTTCTGGGGGAACAAATATATATCAAAGGAAGGCTCCAAACTGAATAATCTTTATCGTAATATCGACAATGAACGGATGGGGCGTGTAAAATTACTTGATCTTGATTGTGCTGTTCACGCTTTTAATGACATCGGCAACTCAATGCACGCAATAGGTGCATCCTTTGCCCATTGTTTTTAACAAGGCACCTGAGACTTTGCACTCTCTCGTTTAGTGTAACAGGTGCAGTGTTCAATTTCCC